TGGTGCTTGACTTCATATAACATGAAGTTGGGAGCAATTCTCAGTAATTACTAATCATCATAAACTTCTTCAAAATTACCCGAAAAGGACTTCAAAAGCTATCCGGGAACTCAAAAAAATATTTACTTTGCTTTTCAACTTGAGGTTGGTATGTTCTTTTTTAAAAGAACAAATGGGATTATCTTATCGCACCAAACACCTGAAATTTCATAGTCAAAAAGTATCTACTCCAGTGGAAAGTGTATTTGAGGAATAAGCAAAAATCACAGCAAGAGTTGCTGGCGGAACCACTCACTTGATAGTGGACAAGGCTATGGAGACCTCACAGACCTTTGCAGTCCAGTCAGAATGTGCCAACAGCCTACCTTGTATTGCCTTCCTCTAACATCTTAGGTGCTGAAATTTCTAGCACTGCCTTTGGTCTGAGGCCCTCCAACATACTTGCAATACACTTAAAAAATAGTCATATTAATTAAATCCACACATTAAATTTAGAGCCCTGTTCCCAAATTAGCATGATGAGCTGAACAGATTGGAACTAACATTAGAACACAGATCTGAGCCATACAATTTATAAGTGTTGAGCATGACTCTCATAACAGCTACCTATGTGAATGAGTAGTGCAGTGGAAAGAGTTGCAGGATTAAAAATCAGGAGACCAATATTCATGTTTTGAATCAAGTACTGTATGAGACTGACTAGTTCTATTTTTAAACCAGGTAAATTGTTTAACATTTTCAGACCTGAACTTCACTTTATAAAATGCAAGTGTTGGGAAATAAAATGACTACAGTTTTCTTGGGGAGAGAGTAGGAGTAGAGCTGGCTATGAAAAATCAGGGGACTACAGTGAGTGTAACAGAAGCACCTGAGTTAAAAGTGCTTCACTTCAGAGAGGGGCTGAATAGTGATGTCAGGTTGGAGGGTGCCTTGTTCCCAGCATAAAGACTGCGCAAGGAGAGAAACCCTGCCAAAAGTCCCTCCAGCGATGGTAGGAAAACAGCCTGAGGTCTGGTCTTAGTCCATTCAGGCCGCTGTAACAAAATACCATAAACTGGGCACCTTATAAACAATAGAAATATACTTCTCTCAGTTCTGGAGGCTGTAAAATACAAGATCAATGTTATCAGATTTAGCCTCTTCATGCCACATCCTCACATGGTAGAATGCAGCTCTCTGAGGCCTGTTTCACAAGGACACTAATTTCCTTTCAAGGGCCCAATAATCTAATACCATCATCTTAGTGATTCACCATGTGAGTTTTAGGAAACACATATTTAAATCATAGCAGATTTTTTATAAGTTTACATCATTCATAAATTAGAGGCTTGTTTGTACAGTTACACTGCAATGCTAGAAAAGCAGATCAGATCAAGGCATTAAAAAAAAAAAAAAAAGCAAAACCTGAAATGCCCATAGAGCCCACTGGACAAACAAGCTACAGGATATTGTTAAAAAAAATTTCTAATGGGAATCAACAGTGATTGTGTATGTTTGTGT